TATATAATGAATAAATAGGCCTATACGAGAAACATATTTTTACTTAAATAATAAATTAAGAAAATGAAAGAAAAGCCTTTAAATTTACTTAAAATACATATATAATAGCAATAAGCAAAAAATGAACATCCCTAATTTTGACAAGATGAATAAAAATAGCTAATAGGCTACTTTTGTACAACCTATTTATTTTTTTCTCTCTGTGACACATTTTCCTATTGTGATGTAAATGTTAAACGAACTGTATCCTGACAAGACAATAAAAATAAGAAAAATAATCCCGCGCAGACCTCTAGCTAATGTGTCTGTTCAAGCGCAAGGAGATGCAAAAGAACCAACCCTGCATGCTTCGCATGCTGTCTGAAATGCACGGCTGTGCGCGCAGAAAACAGCGCACAAGTACTGAATCAAGTTCTCTTTCGCCTCTTCTTGGAATGGTTTAAAATCATTAGAATGTGTAAACTGGCAAGACACAGCACATACAAATGATAAACTTTCACTCTATGATGGTTACATTTTGCAACTAATCCACGAATTACATGCATGCCGAACTGTGGGGCCTGGTCCATACGGAACAACCACGATCCGTTTTACCCCTAGAGACGATTTATCTGAATGTGCTGATTAAGTGTAGTAAATTAATGGTTCAGCTCTAGGGCCATAACCACTGATGTGCATAACAGATAACCCATTCTACACTTGGTCCATGGGGGAAAAAAAAAAAGCTTTAAAGGACTGAAAATAATACAGGACCTGATATAATGAAAACAGCACAACAGCTGATGACGTTGCGCTGAATAAATTAATCAAACTATATGCTTTCTAGGAATAATCCACATCAGATTCTTAGAAATGAACTGCAAGTAACAGGCTTGCTTAGATTGGAGATTAGACTGTAACTCTCTAATTTGTGAGCTGTGGCAAGGTTTAACTGTCCTACTTAGTGCAGACACTTGCACTGCTGATCCAATTACCGTCATGTGCTCAAACTCCCTGCGTGGCCACACAGGAAGGACTCTCCCTGACTGAGACTATGTCGGAACACCACGATCACGGGAACGAAAGAGAGAAAGATTAAAAAAGAACATCCAATGATGAGAAAATTATCTTCAACGGTGAAAACTCTCAATATCTATTCCAAATGTATATATAATTAGTAGGCCTTTTACTAATTCAATAATTATTAAAAAGAGATTGAAGCAGAAATATTTAAAGACATAGTGTACTATTCCTAGTGTATCTATTCCAAATGTATTTCCCAATTTGCTGGAAAAAAAAAACACTTGATATGTCTAACTTCAAACACAGCTCCATTTGCCACAGTAACCGGTAAAAAAATGATTCAGGGGTCATGTGAGGCTGCCCTCCAACACCATTCACTGTGATATGTGCACAACAACAGATCATTTGATCACTTCCAAGAAATCATCAACAAAGTAAGAAAAGCTGTGTGCGATGACTGTTAGGGCTATGTTCTGTTCGAAGTCATTTCTACCTTTGAGGGCTGGAAGCTTCTGCAGTTCCCGGTTCTTGCTGAGGTTGAATCGTGACGAACTCTGTCGACGCTCCTTCTTTACAATCTGAGGCCCACCTGAGTACTTAATTTTGTTGAGCTGAGTGGGAGGTGGAGTGCTGTTGCTCGGACGCTTGCTGGCTGTCTGCTGGGCCTGGTGAAAAAAAAAAACAATGTTCAGAATCAAAATGGCCACATTATACCATTCCACTTTGGTCACAGAAGGTCAGACTCCAGTGTCTTCCTGATGGCAAACACAATAGAAGAGACAAAATACTGCAACAAAGAGGAAAAAGGGGACATTCTCATTCTGGAGAGCATTTTAATGGAGAAATATTTGGATACACTCATCAGTGCTAGAGTCATCATCAATATTTTTGGTCCGTTTTCTCAGAAGAGAAAGACTATAAATTTTAAATGTGTGTATCTACTAAAAGCGAATGGTCAACTTTAAGGCCGTTTATATGCTAGTGTACTCCTAAAGACAATACAGTAAAAACTAGAGCCCGACCGATATATCGTTTTGCCGATATTATCGGCCGATATGAGTCTGTCACCGATATATTTTTTTAATATTTTTTTACAGAACATATAACGCAGATTAAATGCTTCTGAATGGTGTAAGGTATCGGCGAATATGCCGCCGATATGAAAATATTTTTTACATAACATATAACGCAGATAAAATGCTTGAAATTATGTAATAACTTAGTTTGTCCAGCAGAGCACGCTCGATTGTTTGCTACTGGCGACCTGGATGAAACGCTTTTGAAGCTCAAGTCTATGGAAAACCATTGAAACTGTGAACGGCCATCTCCGTAACGGCGCGGCGAATCCGCACTAAATTTGGGGATCCCTTCAGCTCGAGGAACCCTCTCGAACGCGAATCGAGTGTACGTCTAGAGGCCCGCTTTCGAATGAGACCACCCCCACGTCGATAGCCCCCGATAGAAATTAGTCTCCAAATTTGGTGGAGATCCGCCGGTGCGTTTGCGAGATAGTGACACCAGTCAACACTTTCACTTCAGTAAGGAGGTCTCTTGTTCAGGCAGCAGCATTCAAGCATGGTCTTATTCGACCGTAAGTGCCCTGCGAAGTGGACTTCACATGAAATTCCGCCATGATTCCAGTTCCAAGGGAACGTACACGTTACATTCAAAGGGCATTAAAGTGCGCGAAAAGTGAATTTATATCTAGGGATGCACCGAATGTTCGGCAACCGCAGTGTGGAAGCATTTAAACTGTCGGAGAAAGACGCAAAAATCATTACAAGCACCGACAGCGAGAGACTGTTTAGGACTGCATCGCATGTCTTCAATGAGAAGAGGAAGGGGTGATTGTTGCTGGTTACTGTATGATTGAAATCGCGAAATGGCATTAAACAGTTAGTAAATAAACTGCGGAACGTTATGTTTTCTAATACACGCGCGCATTGCATGTATTCTGA